CAATGTGGGTTGGATTTTGACTACATAAATCCTGTAATGAGTGATGACTTAGTGGCCTCCTTGCAATGCCCATTGTGACAAAGAGTGCATGAAGGATTTATTATGTTGATACCTTGTGTTGTATGTCTTGGAGCTTTTCCTCTCATTCTAATAGCAAGAAATTGATGAAATCCAAGATGTTTGCAAAGTAGCCTTAAGATCTTTGTAATATTTCTTGAAAAACTTTCTCCTGAATTATGTTTGTTCTTTGTATTTGCTGGCTATATGGTTCAAGTCTTTTATACTGCATTTCTGTTATTCTAATTTGTGCAACTATATAGTAACCAATAAAAAAATATGAAGGGGTCACAAAAGTTACAGGAGGAAATATGAAAACAAGAAGAAATAATATGCACCTGTCTCTCTTGTCCTGTGAATAACTGGATCTGTATTGAGGTCTTTGAGACTGCTGGTTTGGGGTTTTTTTGGTCTTATTTCTTCTCTGTGGTTCCAGGATTTGAGGACTGGCAAGTATAACAAAAAAGGAGACCCAAAGAGTGAAATGGCTTTCCTTTAAGGCAAGTTAGAGCTATGTACAAGTAGAGAAAAGACTTAAGGGGAGAGATTTAAATAGCTTAAAAGAATGTAACCTACTGGCCATGCCTGTTCCAAAGAAATATCTTTCCTCTTTATAGTGACTTAATATAGCTTCCAGAATTAAAAATAGGACACAGTTACTCATGCAAATCTTCTCCATTAGCTGTTATAAAAACATCCCGCAATATGCAAATGTTTGAGAACCAGCTCTGTACTGTATAAATGCCTTTTGTTGCTAATACCTTGTTGCTTTTCTTGCTAGAAAGTAGCATTAGGTAAGCCCTGCTTTGCAGGTGTGAGGCTGCAAATGACCTCAGGACTTGCATGGGCAACTTTACAGATTTTTTTATCCCTCTCTTCTATCTAAAACTGGAAAGGAGGCTTTCTACAGGTTGTCACTGTATCCTATTCTTAGAAAGGGATGTGATTTCTAATTCTAGCAAACAGAACATTATGGCAAGCAGACATGTCTGTTTCAGTTTAATTGTGGTGACCTCTGAGATCTCAGAGGGAATATCTGTGGTAAACTTTTAAAACTGATTTTCTGTCTTCTGTTACGGTTGCATTTTACGAACATTTTACTGGGTGCATGGGCCTGACAGTCTTTTTGTTTGTTTTTTTTTTAATATGATATATCAACCAAACATAGGGAATACCCTGTTTTTCATGAGGCAGTGTTAAAGTGCTCATTGTAATTTAAAGAAGTAACTCTCAGATTACTGGTGATATATACAAAAGGAAAAAAAAGGAAATCTTTTAAGTATAATTCACTGTATATTTAATACATATTAACACAGTGTGCACATCTGAATGCTTCTATTGAAAATTTCATTGAATTGCTGGGAAGTGTAGTTGGATGATGAGCTGAAGTACTTTGCTTCCTGAGGAATGCTGCTGTGTAGGCATGTGTCAGATACTGCCCCAAAGCTGCAGAATGCAGCTCCTCCTGGGCTGGGAAGGAGGGGAAAGAAATTTATGGCTTCAGAATACTGAGTGGGAGAAATATTTCCTGCTTGTAGAGCAGGGAATGTCTCAAAGGTGAGGGAACTAAACCGTGTTACTGCACGCTGTTCTGGGAGGTACCTGTTGTCAGGCTGATAACAAACTCTTATTTCAGACTTCACGCTTAGATCTTTGTACTGTTTAAATAGCATAATGTGTTACTATTCAAGTGATCAAAGTGCTTCAGCAGGGCCTTTTGTCCTTCTCAGTGTTGTATTATACTAGGAAATGTTTGTTTATTAATTTCTTGTTGTTCTTTTCCAGGTTGCTGATCTACGGCTCCATAAACTGGATGAATTGGACTGTTTGATCCAGGGCCTCCTTTACGTTGATTCTGTTGGTTTCAATGGCCAACCAGAGTGCTATTATTTTGAAAATCCTACAGATCCTGAACAGTGCCAGAAAAAGCCTTACTGCCTTGATAATCCATATCCTATGCTGCTGGTTAACATAGGCTCAGGGGTTAGCATCCTAGCTGTATATTCTAAGGACAATTATAAGAGAGTTACAGGATCCAGGTAAATTTAATTTTCTTTCTTTTAATTCTGTTTTCTTTTCTCCTTAGTAACTGAGCAGGTAGAACTAGACAGTGTGACCAGTAGGTGCAGCCCCAAATTGTGCTTGTCTTCCCATTTCCTTTAAAAGCCTACTAGTAGCAAGGCTGAAAATATCCTAGGATTCCTTCAGAAAGAGGGTCTACATCAGGGAAATCATTGATCTGTTCAGCTTTAGACCTGCCTTAGTCTCTTGTTGGTGTTCTTACTTACTTCCCATCTCTTGCTGTGAATTACCAAAATAAAGCTGTCCCAGTAAACACATCACTCCCCTGCTTTGATCCCCTGGAACAGCCAGAGCAATGAAATAAACATGTTTGAGCTAAACAAAAACCTCTTGCTTAGTAGTTAGGATGTACCCAGGATATAAAACTTTGTAGGCTGGATTTTGATAGAGGAATCTCACTAGATCCCTTGTTTCTTTACTGATTGCACTAGTCTTTTGACCATGCTGGTAAATTAAGTTATGCCAGTTTGTAAAGACTAGAATCTCATTGTCTGAATTTGTTGTTAGTTTGTCTGCAATGTGTGATTTCAGCCTCAATCAGTTAGTGATTTGTAGTGTACAGCTGAGTTGAAGTGGTCTCTGGCCTACGTTCAGTAAGAGAGTTAGATGTAACTGCTCTGGTAGGTATTCAGGACTTCAGTAGCGTGGATGCAGAATTTTGTTCTTAAGGCCAAAACCCAACAGTGTAAATTTCCTCTGTAGATGTGGCAACAGTGTTACCTTTTAGGAAAGCACTTTAGTTACAAATGTGTCTATCCAGAGGAATAGCAAAAATACTAACAAATCTATGCCACTTTTTTCTCACACATGCAAACTAAACCGATGTACTTCATTTTTAGTAATCTTGTAATATTAAAAAAGAAAACAAATCAAACCACCAAAATAGAAACCCAAAAAAAAACTTCTTTCAAAACAACAAAGTAGCTTCTTGGCATTGCTGTAGTCCCTTCCAAAGCTTCATTCTGTTCTTCAGTGCGTGGTACATACTAAAGTTTCTCCTGTGTACTGCACATGACTGCATATGTCTCCTGTTGCCTTATCTAGGGCATATGTGTATGTCACAATGGTAGCCATGAGCCATTCTTCTGTATCCAGTACAGATAAACACAAGTTGAATGGGAGAAGTATTGGTTTTCTTGCAGTTCTGGTTGTTTTTCAAGCACAGAAGTTTTGGCATCTTCCGAAGATGCCAAGAGGAAGATGTGCTTCTGATCCTTTCCACTATGGAAGGAAAAACATAACTGCAGTGTGTTGCTGACTTTTGTTATAGATGATGGAAATCAATATTGCCTTGTGGCTGGTGTGCAGAGCTTCCTACTGTTCAGATGCTGAAGGTATTACAGTGCTGCTAGATGTGTTCTGAAAATCTTAGCCAACAATCCAAGAGCATGGAATAATGCACCTCCTGAGCATTTTCATGAAGTGCAAGTCTGGTGTCTCACTGGTCCTCTCATTTACAGTGTGACTGCAGCCAGTGCAAATAAGATAACTTTTCAAAGGTTAAGAAAGAATGAGGAAGGATGTGGAGACTAGTAAGTTGTTGCCTGTTAAGACTGAACAGTCCAAAGTAGAATTTTAATGAGTTAGCAACCTGTTATGCCCAGTTTAATACTCCCTGCTAAACTTATATAATCAGTAAATATTGTAGTTGAGCCTTTACCAGATATTAAAGTGACTGCTCCTTAAAGTTCTTGCAGGGAAAGAACATTCAGGACTGATGCTAACCTTGCTTTGAACAAGAACCAACCAGATGCTTTCTGCCACTGGCTAGGGAGACAAGATCTGTCTTGGCTGCCTGCCCCTGGATAGATATCTAGCTTTGTTCACTGTTTATTCTTTCCTCACTGATTTGAGTGCTCTGTTGGCCAATTATTCTTGCACAAGGAAAGTCTGCTAGAGTGCTACAAATAGCAAAGTGATATTTGTGGTGTTAGATTGGACCTTATTTTTAGCTAACCATTTATTTAGCATAATTTCTCCCATTTAAGTTTTAAAGACTTGAGAGTATTTCAGTCAAAACAACACTGGATGACACTTGTGTTAATAGAAACTCAACTTGTGGTGTCTGTCTTCACTTCTCTGAGGGAGAAGTTGGTAGCTCTGGTAGACAGTGTTGCATATGGGATTCTGAAGAATTGTGGTAAAAGCTGGTTCGAGCTGCTGGTCTGAAGGGACTGTGCTTTTCTAGTCTTGGAGGAGGAACATTCCTGGGCCTGTGCTGTCTGCTCACTGGCTGCGAGACATTTGAAGAAGCGCTAGAAATGGCTGCAAAAGGAGACAGCACCAATGTGGATAAGCTGGTGAAAGATATTTATGGAGGAGACTATGAGCGGTTTGGCCTTCAAGGGTCAGCGGTAGCGTCAAGGTATGTGTTAATTGAGCTGTTTTTAAGAAGTCTCTTGGGAAACTTCCTGTGCATGCTAAACTGAGTGCGCAATCCCTGCACTGTGCACTATGTCCATGTAGAAATGTCACTAGATGTGTCATGTGGTTTGTTCTTAAATCTCTCACCTACTTCTTGTTCCTTTTTTTTTTAAACAGTTATCAGCAATGCTTGATGTGCTTTGCTTCCATTTAAATGACATTTATTGTGTCCTTGCTCGTTGTTCTGCCTTTCCAATGAGATCCCTTTTCACATTTCAAATCAGTCACAAATCAATGGATATCAAATCCAAGCAAAGCATATTGAATGATAAAATTTTGAAAGGGCTTTTAGCACTCCTAAGTATTTCATATTAAAAGACATAATCTTCCTCACACAGCTTTGGTCATATGATGAGTAAAGAAAAGAGAGATTCCATCCGTAAAGAGGACTTGGCCAGAGCTACTTTGGTCACGATCACCAACAACATAGGTTCTATTGCTCGCATGTGTGCATTGAATGAGGTAAGTTATTTACCACGAGCTTAAAACCTTGAGAAACAGCATAGGGGGATGATCACAATGCAAAAGTGCAAACTGCTGGAATAGTAGGTGTGTAAGTGGCCTTGGTACATATGCATATATTTAATTATGTGTTATAACTCTTGTGATTTGTTATATGTATGCTTTGATGCAAAGTGTAAGGTACTTTGAGCTTCAAAGCTGGGGAAGAGGGGAGAAAAGTTCACTCTAAAGATCTGCTTGAAGCATTGAGCTTCAGCCTAGAGCTGTTTAGTTGCTCTCAAACTGAAATACCTAGATGTTAACACCTTTGTTATCCAAATGATTACTCCCGATTACCTTGTAGCTATCAACAGATTCTACTACACCATGACAAATTTTCTTTTGAATACTATTTTGCTTGGATTGTTTCCATAGCATGATGGGTTCAAACTGTGTATTGTGTTAAATGTTTTGATAAATATGAGATCCATTTTATATAGGTCAGAAAGAAGAAAAATAAAGTTCATTATCCTGCCTCAAACTCCTGTCACATGGTTATTACATTCTTTCTTTAGGCATGATAAATATGGATGGATTGTTACGTTCATTCATCTTTCCAGATTCCAGCAGTAAAAAACCCCACCAAAACACCCCCACAAAACCAAATATTTAGGTACTTGTTTTGAGCTCCAGATCCCATCCTTTACTATTATGTCATAACTAATTTTTTATTTGCTCTGAATGAATGTATATACATTTTTAATACACAGGGGGTTTTGCTGCACAAAATTCTGGTGATATAAAAAATTGCTTCTTTTTCTAAATATTGTTAATCAACAGCACACCCATACAGCCCCCCAAAAAACCAACAAAACAAAACCAAGAAACTTGCCAAACTGCCATCTGATTACTTTATTGGGTCCTACCTAGCTTTTGGCTTTAGGAAGAATAATAATAACTAATCCCTAGTGCTTTTGGTGGGTGTGGGTTTTGATTTTATTTCTTAATAAACCTTTGCCACATCTCCCTCTTGGTCTTCCCAAGATAGAAGGTCCTAATACTTAGTTTCCTTTCCTATGAAAGACACTCTTATCTCTTTTCCACTGTTTCATTTTGTCTTTTTAGTCTTTTTATAGTTCTAATTTTGAGACTGAATGATCAGATTTTCATGTGGTATTTAGAGCATGGTTGCTTAAAGAATTTGTGTGATGGCATATTGATAAATTTTGTGTTCAGAGTTCCTTTACTAACTGTGATATTTTATCTTTTTGAGCATGGAACTCAATTTTAAGAAACCATCCACAGTCCCTCCACAGTCTTGTCTTGAGTGGCTACTTTGGAGACTGTCACTGTGTCTGAATACTGAAGTGTCTCTGTCTTTCCCCTTTTCATTTGTGTAATTTCATTTTTTTAAATTTAAACTTCATCTGCCAGTTTTTCTTCAGTCACTGGGTGTAAGTCCCTTCAGCACTGCTATGCTGTTCATTTGTTATTCTGACTCTTAACTAACTTTGTATGCCAGTTATTATGTTTGATGCTCATTTTCCTCTCTAGAGCACTTCTAAAAGCTGTTGAAGAGCTCATCCCAGTGCATGCCTCTATCAAATGCCACTGATAACCTTCCTTTGTTGTGAAATGTGGCTGCAGATATATTTTATATATTTTTTAGCAATTTGATTCTTTCAGTCAGGATGATTATCTTTCAGTGTTCTCTTTGCTTTCAGCTTCTTTACAGTGTTGCCTTGTGGCATGGAGTTCAAGCAGCATTGTACAGGGCTATCAAAGCATGGAGAGTTGCAGCAGGGAACCACATGTGATGCATTCAGAGGAGGAAATAGGCTACTAATGAAACTAATGCTTCTGAGTCATTGTCTAAAGGTTCCTAACATCTTTGTTTTGGGCAGGCTTGCTTAAAAACTGGACATGATCCATAGAATTTTGTGCAGGAATGTGGATTGATGTGTTAACTATTCTTCATTTGACAGTGTCAAAGTAGAACTTCTCCAACACTTGAACTAAATTATTTTGTAGTTTTAGAGAACAAAAACTTCATTTAATAGCTTTCCATACTTGTTTGACTTTTCTTTTTAATAGTAATATAATTGCAAGTAAGCTAATCTTTAGATAGCTTGTTCTTGGGGGGAAAAAAATCCTAATGCTATCATTCTGCTAAATAATCTAGACACCTAAATTGCCTTTGGGAGATATGACTCTGACTAACACAAGGCTTGATGAATGAAATCCTCAAATAAGAGCTTAAAATCCAGTTGAATATTATATTCTTCTGTGGCGAGTGTGTGTATTAGATTAGGGTTATGGTGAAGCTCACTTTTAGGTTGACAGAATCAATTTATGCCCCAAAGCACAAGTTTTGATAAGTTTTTCCCAATGATTGCAGCTTTAATATTGTGTTGAAAATGACTTGCATATGTGCAGGAAAAAATGAGGCTGGGGAATAAATGAAATATTCTGTCTGCAGAACTTCAAAGCAAATTTGCTTGCACAAAGTTGGCAGTGGGGTAGTAAAATTCCATAGTCTGGAACCATTTGGCTACACATCATTTGAAATGGTCTGTCCTAGGCACAGCAGAACTGCATAAAGGAAACCAATCTCCTGGTTTATACTTAGTAGCAGAGCATGTAAGTTGCATCTGAATGAGGCTTTTTGCAAAAATATGTGCAGGGCTTTTTATTGCATTATTGATATATATTTCCTTATTCGATTACATTGGCAAGTATGTGTATATGCTATATTGAAGCTATACTAAACCTTTCCATTGCAGGGTAGTTGGACAAGTTGAACAAGACCCCACAGAGTGAAAGAGTGCATGTCTTTTTCCAGGATGTTGTAATTTGATTAGCCTTAGTAAGCGTGTCATCACCATCTCTTCATCAGTGTAAGATTTCTGCCTTTCAGCTTTGAAAATTTCAGCAGTGAACAATAAAAAGTGAATTGGCAAAACTCCCTTAAGAGATACAAGTATCCAACTCCTGAAAAATGCTAAAGCTGTTTTTAGTTTGGTTCAAAAAAATCTAGGAAACTTGATATCATTTATACAATTTTTAACCTTGTCAAGTCAAGGAATGTTGGGAAATTGATATGAAATTTGCATGTTGATGTACACTCTGCTGTTCCAGTAGATATTGCTAGTATTTTTAGATTCAAAAGGTACAGTAATTTTTATACTGTGTTAGGTAGTGCTTCAGTTTTCAGTAACAGTAGTTTTGTGTTTATATTCAGAAAAAATAGTGTGGAATTGAAATGTAGATTCTAATCAATCTGATGGTATTGCATTACAGGAAATTAATCAGTTGCATGTTTGTCCCCCCTTTGTCAGAGATTACTTCAGAGACAAAACTGCCTTGTCAAAGGATGCAAAGTGCTCTTGGCCATGTTTAATAGCAGCCTTTTGAAATTTGAGAAGTTCTTATTTTCAGTTATAAATTCCTAGGAACAAGTATGAATGCATGTTGATGTGACTGCAGAGACAAAGGAGATAGATGTTGTAAACCTAAATTGTTTCAACAATGTTTGTGTTGATGTGTTTGGTTTGAGGGCAATCAGGCATGTAAAACTCAGTCATCAGAGACTGGATAAATGAGTTATTGCATCTGGGTATCAGCACTCTGAGTATTCAGGTGAGGATGTTGTCTGTGGCATGTCACAGGCACAGTACTGGAGAGGACAGAACCACAGTCTGTAGCAAAGTAATTGCTGCAGAGCCAAGTGTTGGCTTTTATGGAGCTGTGTGAATGCAGGAAGGTAGCACTTGGTAATTCTAGCTTTTCTGTAATTTTTCTGGCAGCTTTCTGCAGAGGACTCTTGCAGATGCATATCTAGGGTGCTTCAGGACTCATGTAAAACTTATGTGTCCAGAATTTGGCCTCCTACTGAATCTTCTAGACCAATTCTAGTGTGGAGTGGACATGAGGTGGTACAGCAATGCCACATGCAAGTGCATTTTTGTGTATAACAGGCAAAGCTGGGCTTGGTAAGATAGTTCTGGGCGGTGTTTAAACACCAGACAGAACTGTTGCTTCCTGCAGTGATGTACATACAAGCAAGGATAGCATGTGGCTAGTGCTGCTGATGGTTCAAAAATCTTAATTTCCTGTATGAAAACTGAGTTCAAGTGAGCTTTGAAACAAAGGAATGCAGTGCATGTCAAGTATTATGTTGGCCACGTTTCACTTGCTTTTTGAAAATGGAACGACAATCCAGATAACAAATAATGAAAGATGCTTCTTCCCATCTCTAATGTAATCCTTCCCAGATACCCTTCAGAGGTTCTCCATCTGGATTTAATAATTATAGTGATCTCAGGAAAGTTGCTTCATTTCACATGCAAGAGGCAAAGATGTCTTCAGTGGAGCCATACACAATTAAAAGTAGCAAATGCCACCACCTAAACACTCATAATCCAATTCATGTTGGGAAGGTCCTGAGCTTTCAAGCAAATATTGATCATATGTGATAACAGCTTCTCACTTTGTCTGCAATAAAACTCTGGATGTCCCCACCCTTACAATGTCTCTACTTAGCCGTCAGTAACTGCAATTATTTTTTGACTTTTCAGTCTGAAGACTTTAAATGTAACCCAAAGTTCTCATTTAACTTTATAGTAGAGGCAGAGGTACATGTTGAATGAGGCATATAATTTAGCTGAATATAATTTTTCTGGTCTATTTTTCAATTTCAATTTTACAGAACATCGACAAGGTGGTATTTGTTGGCAACTTTCTCAGAATTAATATGATTTCTATGAAGGTGCTAGCATATGCTATGGATTATTGGTCCAATGGTCAGCTGAAAGCTCTGTTTTTAGAACATGAGGTAAGTAATGCATGTTGAACTTGCTTTTATTTGTAAGTACAGAAGTCTTGTCATTCTTTGTTTGGTGAAGTTAAAAGGGAAGAATTTCAGTGACATTGCTTTGAAGTGAAGGCATAAGCCAAGCATTCTGCATAAATGCAATTTAGTTTACAAATTAATTTGAACATAATGCTTGTTAATTCATTGGCTTGATCACTAGTCTTGTGGTATACATTGTTAAGCATTGCCCATCTCTTGGTTTTGCTTTCTGACCCTGGTACCAACTGGTGCCAACAATGTTAATTTGCGTGGGCTGGTTTATAAACTTCAAGTATAATTAATTTTTATATGCGTAATTTTGAGGTGACTCCCAGATGGATGGGTCCATAGTGGAAACTATTCTAGTGGGAGGTGTCCCTGCCCATGGCAAGGGGTTGGGACTAATGATCTATAAGGTCCATTCCAATCCCTTAACAATCTATGAATCTATGAAAATGCTCTGCCTCAACACAGCATCATTATAATGATTCTGTAATTTCTATTTGACAATTTTGGAGAACTGTGTAAGACTTTTTCCAGTATCAGGCCCTTTCTTGTACCTAAAGAAGATCTTATTAAATCATAATAATCACAAACATAATTCATAAATCATAAACAGTGTGGTCAACAGGACCAGGGAAGTGATTCTGCCCCTGTACTTGGTGCTGGTGAGGCCACACCTTGAGTACTGTGTGCAGCTCTGGGCCCCTCAGTTCAGGAGGGATACTGAGGTGCTGGAGCAGGTCCAGAGAAGAACAACGAGGCTGGTGAAGGGACTCGAGCACAAGCGCTGTGAGGAAAGGCTGAGGGAGCTGGGGTTGTTCAGCCTGGAGAAGAGGAGGCTCAGGGGAGACCTTATCACCCTCTACAACTCCCTGACAGGAGGTTGGAGTCAGGTGGGGGTTGGTCGCTTCTCCCAGGCAACCAGCAGCAGGACAAGAGGGCACAGACTCAAGCTCTGCCAGGGCAGGTTTAGGTTGGATATTAGGAAGAGATTTTTTACAGAGAGAGTGCTCAGGCATTGGAATGGGCTGCCCAGGGAGGTGGGGGATTCACCATCCCTGGAGGTTTTCAAGATGAGACTGGATGTGGCACTTAGGGCCATGGCCTAGTAACCATGGGAGGGTTGGACTTGATGATCTTGGAGGTCTTTTCCAAGCCATCTGATTCTATGATTCTATGATAATTTAGATAGAGCAAATACTTGGCACAGCAGGGCTGATCTTATAAAAAAGGTCTTTAACTGCCTTAACAGAACTGAACTTTACTTGTTCATGCTTATGTCTTATTTTGGAGTTTGATTGGTTTTGGTTTGCTTTTGTTCACAGGGTTATTTTGGAGCTGTTGGAGCTCTTCTAGAATTGCTTAAAATGACAGATGATCAGTGATGAAGCTGTCTGAAGAGATTCCTTCGCAGATGCTGCTGGATAAGAGTGAAAGCCACTACAAGAATGGAAATAAAGCCATTATGGTAGTTCTACCTGCTGGATTTGTAAATAATTTAAAATCCTTTTAGCTGATCTTTAACTTCTGGGTTTTGACCTTATACTTCAGAATTCATACTGGGAATTATGAGGTTCTTTTTCTGTACACTGTATTTTTTAGGGGAAAAATGTGCAAAGTGGCCAAACACACAGATTTTATGGATTTATTTTAAAAAACAGATACTGTTTAATATAGGACCTGTGATATGAGGCATCTGCTTTTCTTCTGGGGTTTACTGATTAGTGTGGTAATTTTAACTTCATTTAGTAATCACTCTAGGAGATTTTTTTATCTTATTTTCATGACGTTTCATGATTTGTTCTTGGTTTCAAATGAAACTACCAAGCTGATGCATTTTACTGTGAAAACTAATCATTGATTTTGTTGCCTTTCCTTTCCTCATTAGATGAGACACTTCTTTATTTAACATCCCCTTGCCCCCTGCAAAAAATAGATTTGCAAGTGTCCTGTGGCTACCTGAGTTTTGTGGCAGGACTGTGAGAAAGCTGGGCAGGGGCAGGGGCAGGGGGTTGAAGATTGTCATTTTTCAGTAGTTGTGAATTGCAGCAGGAACAGACTGCCAAGTGCTTTTGCAGGACTAATTCTCCTCTATAATAAAATTTTTAACCAAGATGTGAACTAAAATATTAATTATTGGATTGACACTAAAGCCAAGTCCTGTTTCTGTTGAAAAGCTCTGACCTATATTCAGAGTTCTGTAGTACAGATGTTATTTATATGGTACATACTTGGCATTAGATGGCAAAGGGAGATTGTTTTCATTTATTTTTCTGTAGTCTGCAAGCTTTAACCTGTTCTTAATTGAAAACAACTGATAACTGCATTATTCAAATCCCAGTTACTAAAATGAGAAAAAGACTCACTAATGTATTTTCT